TGATGACTTGTTAAGGTCTACAGTGTAAAAGAAACAAGTGGTACAGAAAAATAAAAATTCAGTTTCATGCAGAAAAACAGCATGAGGTAGTTTCAATTGGCAATCCTGTGGTAAAGCAGAGTCAGGAAATTTCAAGAAGTTTAGCACCCTTAAAGACAAGGCAACAAGGCCTTTCTTAGCATTTGAAAGCCAGGAAGGCTACCCTAATGGTACAACTCCACCCATTTACACCTTCAATTTATGGAAGGAATAGGCTGATGTAACTCTGGTCTGAGTGTGGTAGAGTCCAAATTTGTGGTGTAACACAAGTACTGGTTCTTGATGGGGAATGTACTGTGTATGTTTATCTTATTGATTGTTAAATAAAATACCGTTTGGCCAATGAAATGGCAAGTTAGGCAGGACTAGGAGTCAAAGAGGATTCTTGGAAATGTAGTAGAGAAGTACTGATCCAGGCAGGAAGTGACATAGCAAGGAGACTCATATTTAAGCGAAGGAGAAACAGGAAGGGCCCTCTTTTCCCCTCTGCTCCTGCTCCAGTGGCACGATGTGATCCACCGGCCAGGAGGGACGCCAACAAGGCATCCAATAAGATAAGTCTTATAACATATATAGATTTATGATAATTAAGACTAAGATAGCGGATGAGAATCCTAGTCATTGTCCAAGCAGCTTTGAACCTAATACAAGTTTCTGTGTATTCATTTGGGCCTAACTCGGGCAGGCAACTGGCATAAAGCACACACGTGGCGGTGGGGCTCAGGCAGCTTTTGGCAGAAAGATTTATCATAACAGGTTCTGGAAAGAAGAATGTTGCAAAGTCATAGATTCTTCCTTTGTGGTTTCAGTTCAGCACTGTTGGAATCTGGCAGAGTTAGAAAACCAGTGAAGATACTGTGAATGTTCTTTGCATGAATTTGTCAAGATGAAGCCAGTGTTGTATTTTGAGAAATAGGATGATGAGATATCCAAATGATAGGACATCTGCCATGGAAAGCTGAACACAGGGAGTGTAATTAGCAAAGAAGAAGCATGTATGACAATTTTTACAGATAGAGCTATCTAAGCCTTTTGAGAATGATACCCCACCTGTGTTTGGCAGAGCTACAGGATTTGTTGTTTGCCCTGAGGAGTTTTATTTCCTTAGCTCAATCTTCTCTCACTCTGCCCATATTCTATTTTTTCAATTTTTTCTTCTCTTAGAAAATACATCCGATCTGCATTTTCCCCCATCTCCACTCATCTCAGTCCTCTCCACTGCTCCCCTGTCTACCATGTCTGCTCCTCCTCCACTTACCTTTAGAGTAGATTATACATCCAAAGAATATCAACAAAACTCTGCATAATGAATTATAATTTGACAAGCACAAACCCTCATATCAAGGATGGATGGAGCAAACTAGAAGGAGGAAAATGATTCCAAGAGCAAGCAAGAGAATAGAGACACTTCAACTGTTAGGAGTTGTACAGAAGCACCAAGATATACAATAACAGAAGACATGTGCTGCTGGACTTCCTTTTCCCACCGGGTACTGCTGCCCTTCTCAGCCCTAAATATGCACACATATGCCATATAATTATTAAATTTTTACCTGATGTCTAGGCCTTCTTATTGGCTAGCTCTGTCATAATTATGAACCCATTTCTATGAATCTATGTATTTTTATATGGTTATGGCATACAGGACAATGTCTACACCTGTTGCTCCTTTGCTGGCTACATCACTTCTGTCTCTGGTAGGCTCTCACTGCCTACCTTTCCCAGAATTGTCCTCATTTCCTCGTCCTGCCAACTTTTCTTCCTCTTTGGCCAAACACTGTTTTATTCATCAACAAATAATAGGAACATAGAGACAGAAGGACATCCCCATGGTTTGCAAACAGATCACTGGTGCGATCTGTTACTTTTAATTTGCTAAATTTAACTCTTTTAGCTAGCTAATATTAAAAAGTGTGTCAGAATGGCAGAGTGGATGATGGTAGTTGCTCCCAAGTCTTCCTACCTGAATTCAAAGCAGTAGGACCTATGTTGGGGGCAAGAGCAAATTGACTCCTGGGGGCAATCATATGATTTACACACACACACACACATACACACACACACACACACACACACACACACACACACACACACACACGTGCATGTATGTGCATACCCAAAAATAAATAGATGTTTAAAAATTAAAAGTGAGGAGTTGGGGTTATTGAATCTTTTTATGTTCTTGGTTGTTGGGGCCCAAAAAAATATCAGTTATAAACTTTGGGGTCCAAACCTCTGCTCTATTTCCAGGAGCCTGAATCTCCCCCATGTCTTTCAGATGTCTGGCTAATTACTGAAGATGGCTTGGCCTCAATGGAGAATGTCTCCTAGTTTATATAACAACAGACCTAGGCCCTGGGTGTGCCCACACCTGTTCTGAGGTTTTTGTTTATGTGCATAGGGGCTATTTAATTGTGCCACTAGGGTTAAAAGAACTTTTTGTATCAGCTTTATACATGATAGTAGATGTCTTCTGTGCTCAAACCCACTATTAGAAAGTTATTTAAGAGAATGCTTGAAGAAACTAGAGACTCCAGTTTCCAGCATGGACTGAGTGCCCTCCTGTGATGACAAGATATGTCTGTGTCTCATCCTTAATGCCACATTAAGGTAGCTAGAAGTTTCCCTAGGTCCATGCACCCCCACTCAGGAATGGACCTGAAGCTGTTTGGATGGCTCCTATTACAACTTAAAAGACATCAGTCCAGTAGATGGCCTCTATAGTTTGGGACTGATACAAGCTGGGCCCCAGCACTGGGTGGATAATATTTAATGTGGTGTCTAACTTTAGGTAAATTTTATAAACATGTAACTTTATTTAAAGCTGTCCTATATCTTTATGAACATTATTTATATAACCTCTATAAACAATGTTACCGATAATAAAAATGAGAGACACATCCTATTCAAAATTCAGGGTTCACTTGCAAAATCTGCTGTCTTTGAAGAAGGTATTGGAACTATAATTAACATAGCAGTTAGGAAAAATCTTCAAGACAACTTCATTGAATGATTCCATTTCATATACAAGAAATATGAGACAAATATGAAGTTGAGATTTTTTCAATGAGTGATGGAGTTACACATATCACAAAGTATTTTCTGTTTGAAACTATAGAAGCATCCAATGACTAGCATGGGATGGTCACCACAACAAAAATTTTCCTGCAGTAGGAGCACAACACGATGACTCTAAAGTTCACCTGTCCGTGGTCACAGGGAATACTGTAGCAATTATTGTTAAGGTCATTATTGTTTGAAAAATAGGAAACTTAGAAATCATTACTTTGTTGCATTTCAGACCAGAATAGAAATTTTCCTCAGAGATACCCTCAATTATCATTATGGATGAAATAGCTAAAATAAATTTTGCAATTCATTTTTGACACTTTCAAAAAACCAAGAGTGGAAAAAATTCAATATGTTTTTTTAAAAAATTAAATTTGTATCAATATACAAAATTTTTAGGCAAGAGTAGAAACATATTCAGTGTGTTATAACAGAAATTAGCTAGAAATTCTATTAATATACAAAATATTTGAGATTAATAATTGCTTTTAAGTTATAGGAGATTTAATAATCTACCCTTTTATCTTATCATTACTATATTTCCCTAAATATAACAAACATCCATGACCTACCAGATAATCAAAAGCCTCCCACCAACTAATACTTGTGAATTTGGGAGAGATGTTCTCCATATGCTTCCTGCTGTCTGGGGATGAAGGCATCCTTAAGGGCTCCCTGAGAAAATTTGAGAATATGGTCAGGTCCTGTGAAGACCATCAGTAACTTTAATTGATATATATGGCCTGTCAAGTTCAAGAGGTCGCCCTTGCTTAAAACATATCTATATCAACCGGGAACAAATCCATAGCTTCCTGTTTCATTTGGGGAAAAAAATTCATTTGACAAATAGTTTTGACTTTTTTAAAGTTAAGGCACTCATAAAATATATAAACCCCATTATTTCCACATTCCCTGTTTCCATTCCATTTACATCTGAGCATATTTTACTGTACACCTTTAGCCATTTTTTACTGCTAAAGCAAACTTTAGACTGCTAAGTTAGACCTGCAACTTCTGCATGCTCTCCCAGCTGTGTATGCCTGCTTCTGAGTTTGTAAGAGCAAAGCCTAAAACTCACAGCCCAGTTAGAGGTGGGCCAACAAGAACTGCATACAGCCTTCCTAGAACTCTAGCATTCAATTGTGCTGTGGAAGTCACTGTAACTAAGCTTATCATTACTACTTAGTTACTGGCTGTCAAGGGCTCAGGAGTAAGCAGAAACTCATTGTGGAGATGAAATTGTTTTCAGATTTCTCAGGCCTCACATAGAAATATGGGCCCCTGTTGGGTCCCAAAGTTTTGTTTAGTGTTTGACTCCTTTAGCTCTTTAGTTTTTTACCTTTGGGGGAGAGCACCTCTCAGGTCCAAATTGATACACAGAAGCATGATATTACTTATAAATGCCTGGCCTTTACTTGGCTTATTTCTAGCCATTTTTTCTTAGCTTAAATGATCCCATTTGCCTTTTGCCTCTGTACTTTTACCTTTCTCCTTTTATGTATATCCTACTTTCCCTCCTATTTGATGGCTTGCTGTGGCTGGGTAGCTGGCCCTTACCTACCTCCTCTTCCTTTTTTCCTTCCTCCTTGCTTCCAGATTTATCCTTTTATGTATACTTTGTTCCTGATACCATAGCCTATCCTTTCTCCTGTCTCACTGTTAGATAACCACCTCTTTATCAGAACATCAGGTGTTGTAGACAGGCCAAGAATCATGCCTTCACCTAGTTGAACTAATACACTATAAGCAAAATCAACACATATTTACTTCATTAAACAAATGTTCTGTCGCATAAAATTAACACATCTTAAAATAATGTTCTACAGAAATATACATTTATAATATTGTCAGCATCATGCTTTCATTTGGATGATATGTATGTGATATTTTAGAATCCGATAACCTAGTATGATGTGCATATCAACTTCACTTGGGAAGAGTGGACTTTGCTGGATTCTTCTCAGAAGAATCTCTACAAAAACGTGATGCTGGAGACAAAAAATAATCTCACTGATATAGGTAAGATGGTATTTTCCTTCTTATTTTAAAATAATAGGGCAACTGTTCCTTGGTTACTGATGTTCTTTAATTTTATTGAGAGAGAAAAAAGAATGTGGTCAAAATTCTAAAGTTCACTGAGGAGAGTAACTTAAATTCTGCACATTTTTTCAATAATAAATATACATTTTCTTGTACTATATTTTAGGATACAGCTGGGAAGACCATACTGTTGAAGAATATTGTGCAAGTTCTAAAAGACCTGAAAGGTAATTGATAGATATGTGCCTCTGAAGAAATGGAAATTTGTCCTGAAAGTTTGAAACAGAAACAACAGTGTAATTAAGCACAGCTTAAATTGCATTGATGATTATTAAATTCTCCCAAAACCATATACCTCAGTTTCAGGTAGGTGAACTGCATTTGCAAGACATTATTTCAAGAAAGAAGACAAGGAAACAATGCCTTGAGGGAAATTACCACTTGAAACTTTGAAGCATGAGAGCTATGTTGTAGAAATATAGCTACATTTATTTCATAGTACCTATATTTCTAAAGGTATACACATTGTTGAGGTGATAAGCATAACTCCGAAACTTCCATTAAGCAAATACTCAATAGAAATACTAATGTTACTCATATACTGGCTGTTACTTTTGTAAGTTTTGTGACAACGGCAATTGCCAAAAGTCAAGGGGCAGTTTTTGCATGGAAAAGTTAATCATGCTACCACATGTTTATAAAGAACAGAAAGGAAAACTGAATTAAATGTGGAAGCCTCTTTCTTTGTAATCTTTACTTCACTGGGTTTATCATGTATTAGTCAGGATACAAGCCATGTGAGCAAAGGGATATGGAGGACATATTATTTGTCTCTTGCAGAATTTTAAGACACATGTGGTAATCCCATTTTGAGCATACTTGTTGAATTTGACTCAAGTGTACAAGTAATTTGTTTTCCAGCTTCATTGATAATACACCAACAAGCTCACTCTGCAGAAAAGACCAATGACTCTATGACTGAGGAAATAATTCTGATTGACCTACTTCATTGGAAATGTAGTATGACTCGTGTAGGAAAATTTTTAAAAATACAATAATGTTGATAAAATTCTGAATTTTTCCACTTGTCTTCAATATGTGAAAAATCTCCTGTAGAAAAAGGTTCTGAAAATGACAACCATATAATAAAGGATTATACCTTCAAAGATGCAAAACAACCTTTAAAGAAGTGAAAACTTGTGTGTAAACACAGTAATAAGACTGTAAGATCTGAGTCTTCTTTACAATTGAAAAAACAGTAATATTAATTTATACATGTATCAAGATTCAACATCGAATTGAATACCTTAAAGCATTTACATGTGCACATTTTCCTTGCAGGCTTGAAAGAAGCCAAACTGGAGAGAATTCTTCTGTATATACACAATGTGGTAAAGCCTTTGCATATAACAATCATCTTCAAAGGTATAAAAGAATGCATACTGGAGTGAAACCCTATGAATGTAATCAATGTGGTAAAGTCTTTGCTCAGCACAATTATCTTCAAAGACATAAAAGAACACATTCTGGAGAGAAACCTTATGAATGTAATCTGTGTGGTAAAGCCTTTGCTCAGCACATTCATCTTCAAACGCATAAAAGGACACATACTGGAGAGAAACCCTATGAATGTAATCAGTGTGGTAAAGCCTTTACTGATCACAGTGCTCTTCATGTGCATAAAAGAACACATACTGGAGAGAAACCATATGAATGTAATCAGTGTAGTAAAGCCTTTGCTCGTCACAGTCATCTTCAGATTCATAAAAGGATACATACTGGAGAGAAACCTTATGAATGTAATCAGTGTGGTAAAGCGATTTCTCAGCACAGTCACCTTCAAACACATAAAAGGATACATACTGGTGAAAAATCTTATGAATGTAATCAGTGTGGTAAACGCTTTACTAATCACAGTGCTCTTCGTGTGCATAAAATAACACATATTGGAGAGAAACAACTTGAATATCATCAATGTCGTAAAGCCTTTGCTCAGCATATACATCTTCAAATACATAAAAGAGCACACAATGGGAAGAAATCCTATGAATGTAATCAGTGTGGTAAAGTCTTTGCTCAGCAGAGTCATCTTGAAATGCATAGAAGGACACATACTGGAGAAAAACCCTATGAATGTAATCAGTGTGGTAAAGCCTTCACATGTCACAGTCATCTTCAAAGACATAAAAGAATACATACTGGAGAGAAACCTTATGAATGTAATCATTGTGGTAAAGCCTTTGCTCAGCACAGTCATCTTCAAACGCATAAAAGGACACATACTGGAGAGAAACCTTATGAATGTAATCAGTGTGGTAAAGCCTTTATTGATCACAATGCTCTTCGTGTGCATAAAAGAACACATACTGGAGAGAAACCTTATGAATGTAGTCAATGTGGTAAAGCCTTTGCTCAGCACTGTCATCTTAAAGTGCATAAAAGAACACATGCTGGAAAGAAACCATATGAATGTAATCAGTGTGGTAAAGCCTATACTGATCACATTGCTCTTCATGAGCATAAAAAAACACATACTTGATAGAAACCATTTGAATGTTATCAATGCCGTGAAGCCTTTGCTCAGCATATTCATCTTCAAATACATAAAAGATCACATAATAGGGAGAAACCCTATGAACGTTTTCCTCAAACACATAGAAAGACACATACTGGGGATAAACCATTTTCAGGTAATCACTGTAGTGAAGCTTTTCCATGTATCAGGGGACTTTGAAATCATTACAAAAAATCATTCAGCAGTGAAATGTAGTCAGTTTGGTTTAATTTTACACTTCATACAGGAGTAAAACTTTGTAGGCAATCAATCTGATAAAGCCTTTGCAGGTTACAATCATTTTTGTGTACTTGAAAAACATTATGAGGGCTTCTCATTATCAAGTATTTGGTGGGATATTTAGCCATCACACTCCCAATCAGTTACACAACAGTATTTCTTTTGTAGCAGTAAATTGACAGTGTCAGCCATCTGTGTAAGCATTATGTCCATTTTTATATTGTTGCTTCAGCACACTCATAGAAAAAATGTATTTATTAACTTATGAAGCCAGATTGAATATAAAACTCCCCATTGGAGTGGAGCAGAGAAGCAATATTCTCCTCTGCTTGGAAACTTCCTTGGGGGAGCAAAACAGAAGAAAAATCTTTTCACTAGTGCTGTAGCAGACTGCTACATTGTGGAGCAGTTTCCCCCAGAGTTGATTGAAGCCAAGAAGAAATGTTTATCATTGCTTGGAAAATCCCTGGTGGTGAAGAGAAGAAGCAATGGACACTCCTGCCTGTATCCTCTCTTAGCAGAGTGGAACAAAGCTCAGTTGTAATGATTCTCTCTCTGAGAGAAGCAAGAGTACTAAATCCTGCATGGAGACCATGCCCCACTAGAACCCAGCTTCATTTACAGCCTGATTTAATGACAGTCAGGATACCTCTTTTCCTCATAGCTGTGGGTTTTCAGGATACCTTCCCTTCACAGCAGCATGTGTAGCCTGTCATTGGACATGCAGGGTACATTTTTTCAGAGCCCTAGGTATCTAGGATACATTCTATCCAAAGATTCAGGAATAGCATGACTTCCCAAAAGTCATGATATCTTTCTCTTCAGAGCTGCAAGTATCCAGGACATTTTCCCTTCACAGCTGTAGGTATAGCCTGACTTAGGACACTTTGGGTACATTTCCTCCATAGCTGTAACTCTTGTACAATAATCTTAAATGATAACGAATCCCTTTTAGATTTATGCTTCCTTTCAAGTGCATGAAATAACTAATTCAGCTGTAAAACTTATGGATTTGTATGATTTTCTATTCTACTTGTGTTATATCTAGTTCCCCTTATAAAAGACTTTAATTTCATCCTTGGTTACAAAGGGATACAGTATCGTCATGAAAGTTACATGACAGCTAGAGCAGGCATCTACGAACTCACATCCTTAAGCTGCAGCATGAAGCAGAGTTGGAACTGATTTTGGAGATCACTGCAGTGTGGTTTCTATTTTGAAATATTTGATGTGCATGCTAAAGTGTGCTATTTGTGTGGCAAATCCATTTAGTGAAGTTTATTTTGTTTTCCTCATATTCGTTCTGTGGCTTTTGTTCATTTTGTTCTTTTACTTAGTTAAAATGTATACAGTGTTATTTTAACACTGCAATGTATACAGTGTTACCCCTATTATCTAAGTGGTCCATTGGTTTTGTTTTTGTTTTTGTTGTTAATATCAGGCAGTGTATGATCACACTTTTCAAAGAAAGATTTCTCTGAAGAGGTGGTAGTTTGTTATTACTGCTGTGTTTTTATATTTTCATAAATACCCTTAAAATTTTCTTGCTGTTTATTCAGGCTGGCTTGGATATCAGTAATGATGAGGAATACATATGAACTCATGATCCTCTTGTGTCTGCCTCCTGAGTATAAGTCCAAGTGTACGTAATATACTCCCAATATGTGCTGTTTCCTCAACATAATTTAGCAACGTTAATGTTAAAATGCTTAGGAGAAGATAATATAAGAAACATTAAATACTTCATGTGTGTATTCAAAAGAGTGTTTTCTTTTAACTGGTAGAAATGTTGGTTGTGGGAATCAAAGCCAGTTCCTGTGGATGAGCAGCCAGTGTTCCAAGTGCTAAGCCTTATATTCATCCACATGATTGCGTCATTAATAGCAATAAGTGTGATTGGCTGATCTAGCTTCATCTTTATCTCAGCCCTAATGGCTCATAATAACAATATGATTGATCATATCAGAAACTAACTTAGACTTGGTGCTTGTGGAATTTTACAAACCCACGTCTCCACAAAATGAGGGAAAAGTACAAAATAAACGATCAGGAGAGAAACTGACAATACAAGTCTTTAAAAGATGGTTGACTAACCAAAACCACCAGAGTGAATTTGTCTCCCAGGTGGTAAATAGGCATCAATGGGAGTCCATAATCTCACATGTGAAATGTACCCCTACTTGTGTTTATAACTCCTGTGAGGAGAGAATAGGAACTTGCAGGCATGAAGTCTGACTTGTCTGAACAGGCTCATATTCTACTTCCTTGATGCCTGCAAAACATTCAATTTGGAGCTCTGAATGGTGGTGACTACAGAAGACATACGAACTGTGAGGAGATCCTGAGACTTGAAGTTACTAAAAGACTTAGACAATAAGGTATTTAAAGGAGTTTTGGAAATTGGAAGAATTTTTAGGGAGGGATCTTAGGGTTGAAATCACAAGCATCAATTCACGGAGACCTTTCTTCAGTTGTAACTAAGGACAAGCTGCATTAACTATATTCCATTTCCACTCAGCTGTGGTAGGTCAGCTCACTCCAGTTCTTCCACTCTTTAATTTTTGGCAACTCATATAGCAGTCAGTGAAAGTACCCTGAAGTCCACACTGGGACTGCGTTGCTCCTCAGGCTCTATCCCAGCAATTCATGGTACCTGCCTGACTCACAGGCATAAGGTTATTCTAAGTGATATTTATATCTCTCCCTTTGAGTAACATCTAGTGGAACAGTAAACTCCGTGAAATTCTAATTTCCCTGGGAATTTCATTGTGGGAAAAGACTGACTCCTCCAAATGAGAATCTCTCTACTAAAGCAACATTTATGCCTTATCTGACTGTCGTGCAACAGTAAAAGAGTCTGAAATTGGGGGAGGCATTTAGAGATGGAAAAACTTTTAATATATGGCTTAGATATATTACTTAGCTGTGCAGATGTCTTGCCTTCTATCCAAAACTGTTAGGACCCAATGAAGGATTAATTACTTTAGGTCTTCATCACTGTTCCAAGTAGTATCAGGCAGGAATCTTCTGCCTAGTTTTTCTATCCAAAACAGCATGTTCAATCCTGAAACCATAACAAACAACAGAAATGGACTCAGCAGACTTTATTCAAATATTTGCGCATACTTAACTTGTGAAGGAAGAGGAAAAGTAATGCAATATATTTTAAATAAAATGTTTAAAAATAAATGTTAAATAAAAACATGGCTAGAGAGTGAGCTTAGCAATTAAGAGCACTGAGTATTGTTAAATTGGACACAGGTTATACTGATAGAAACCATGGTTGCTAACCATCTCCTGTAACTTTAGTTCCAAGAGAATTGATTCACTATTATGGCCTCTGCAGGTACTGCACACACCCAAGTATAGGCAAACACACATATACATGAAATAAAGCTTAAAAATGAAATTCTGTACAGTAATGTGATAGCCTTGAGACAGACAACCATCATGACTAGCTAAAAAGATCTTTGTGGTCATTAATAGAAGCAAAGGTGGCCTTTCTCTGAGCAAGGTTGCTGAGAAGAAAAGAAAGTCTTATTCTAGTGAAATAATTGCTCAGACTAGCTATTCATTTAAGAACATCATTTACAGTGTGTATAGGTGTGTTTCCCATTTTTTTCATATTTGTGTTCTATGTGGTTTTATTTGTGAGGATTGTGGTACTGACATATCTTTTAAATGTATCTTTTATAGCATGCATTTTAATCTATTATAATACATCATGCATTGTGATATATTTATATCTAAAAGATAGTTGTTCTCTGTAAATCTCCATCAGGTTAAATGGTTAGAGTTGCAGTCTTCTATCCCTATTTAAATTTTGCAAAGCATAACCTCAGACCAAAGTAAAGGAGATTTAAGGATGACAGCTGTTAATATTTAACCATCTCGACTGGCCTGTTTTGGGTTCTGACAGGATATGCCCTCAGCTGCAGCCACTAAGAGGGCCACCTGTGAATTTTCATTATGTTCCCTCTTAAAAGTGCCCTGCCCATCTCCTATTTTCCTCTCTCCCTTTCACTCCCTGTGTCTGTTCCTCTCCTCTCTCTCTCTCTCTCTCTCTCTCTCTCTCTCTCTCTCTCTCTCTCTCTCTCTCTCTCTTTCCTCTCTCATATTGCTCCTGTCCCTGAATGCTGGTCTCTCCCCTCCCTTTCCACAATGTATGATCCCTTTTTCTAATTAAAAAACATTCTGGTTGAACCACTTCACAAGGAATCTTTCTTTCAAGCAATGCTTCTCTTAAATTACAGCAGCTTATTGGAATGCAAAATCTTTGCCAAAATGGATCCTCTTTTAACCTAAACCACCAGTGGATACATGCTGTTAATAAATCAATTAGAGCAAAACAAAATTGCTTTGTGTGGTGTAAAATACAAATCATACAGTGATTCTCTAAAAAAATTAAAACTGTGTTAATCTTGAGCTTGCTTTGAAAAGTTTTTATTTCCTCACTCTGATGCAGATTTACATTCAATCAACAATTGTATAAGGCAATATGGTTTCCAGGTTATCCTATTTGACATTGTTTTCTTTACCAAAGGGGAATGAAATTCATTTAGCAGTCAAGGATATTTTCTACAATGGTCAAACAGCAGAATGCTTTAAGCAAATATCTGAATTTCTGGTGAAACAGCCATCCACTCCCAACTCATTTTAGCCAATTGGCAATTGAGGGAACTGGAGTTTACAGGGTGAGTGCTGGCCAGTGACTTCTTTGGTTTTAGATTTTGACTGTAATCTTGAGTTCCTATTTAAAGGACAGTTTTATATTTATAGGTCTGTTTGAAGTCTCCTTTTATCAGTGGTGCCATTTTTGTGTGTTTTTATTAATTTTAATCTAATTATATTTCAGATTTTCTAAAAATAGCGGACCTTTACCTAATTTTGTATTCTGAGAATTTACTGCATATGGATTCCTTGGAGTTTTTTGATTGGGGACTTTCTGTGGGAAAACAGGTTTATTTTTCTCCCCTTGATCTTAGAGTCTTCCCTTTATTTATTTCTTAGCATATCTGGTTTTTTTTTCATGTTTTTCCTGTCATTATTGTTTGTAATTTTGCTTCTTAAGTCATTTTTATGGTTAGTACATTGGTATTGGATTTTTAAAATAGTCTCTTGTATTTTCTCTCTTTCCCAATTTGCTTCAATTCTTAAAATGACATAAGCAAGCATCATCTGATGGAGAATCAATCGATGTCTTGACCAAATCACAAGGACCAGTTTCAGTGACTGTTAGAGATTATGTCACTTGGTGACTGATGTGGGAAGGTTCTTCCACTGAACATGACAATTTCCCTAAGGAAGTTGCAGTCTACTGAGTAAGAAAGCTAAGCTGGGCAATGGTGTCTTCTTTAATCCCGGAAATTGGAAGGCAGAGGCACGTGGAATCAGAAACAAAGTAACACAGAATATATCATATAAAACTAAGAGAAAACATATGTAGATGTACAGATTAAGATACATGGGACTAGGTTAAATATAGGTTAATTTTATTTGGGAGTAGTCACTTGCATAAGAAACTGATTAACCCACAACTTCCAGCTACAAGGATCCTTACCCAGCTGCTCTCCATTTCCCAGCCAGAACCAAGAGAGAGCAAGCCTGTCCCAAACCCCAGACCAAATATCACACTCTCACTTACACACCTGTGACTGCACCTGAATGAGTGTGGTCAGTGGCACACTGGATCTCTCACTACAATTCCCCTTTTATTCTAAAGAAAATGATTTAGACCTGATATGAAACTATATACAAAGAGAGCAATTATCAAATATGCACCAGAAGGAAAAGTAAGAACACACACTCTTAAGACCCATTGCCAGTGAAGTAACAAGAGCAAATGGCAAGAGGTACATACCCAGTCCTAGGGCAAAGGCACACAGAGATTTCCATAGAGTTCCATAAACTGGAAAGCTTAAGTCTTTTATCTAAAATTTCTATCTAGGAAGAGAGAACAATACTTGTGACATAATGCCTGATTGTAGAGAAAAATAGTGACAACATCCCATACCTAAAAAGCGAATAAAGCTGTCACATTTCAGGAAGTTTTCATTTAGAGAGAAGGTGAAAAAAACTGTGGAGACAGTACTCACATCTTTGCAGATATGGTCTGTAATAGTTCCAAGGGAGAAATGAAGGGCAACTCCCATGAGATACAGCTGTGGTGTATACAAGGCATCCTGCACTGCCCTAACATAAGTCTGCATGGCACTAAGACTAAATCCCAACTTATATAATAGAGTTGTGTTAATAATCTGTCAACACAGGTTCATTATTAGAAAAATAATCCAACATAATGGTAGCCCAAACATTACCTTGGAGACAATTCACTGAGAGGCAGGAGTATTTTAGGACTTTCATTCTACAGCTTCAATATCTCTATAATTCATAAACTTGCAGGAAACATTTTTTAATTTTAAAATAACAATTGCAGCCATTCTGATTTCATTATTATGGAGGTAATCAATTCATTTCATAGAGGCTGGCATTCATATAGATAACATGAGGCATTGCTTAAATTATATTATAAACTATACAGATGAAAGTTCTCCAAACATTACACATTATGTGTATATATGGTCTCTTGCACCTTGTCTTCCTATCATTCATATATTTCATGTATGTGTGCATGTGTAACACATACTCATGAAGAGATGACATTAATGTTAATTGATTTTGTTATGTATATATATATATATATATATATACATATGAATGTATGTATTTATATAGATACAGATTCCTTACAATAATCATTTAGGGATGAATGATCCTATTATTTACTGCATTTGATGTTAGTGAAAATATCATAATGGCCATTTGTTCTCTGCCATTTGTTCACTGGGAGACATAAACAACTATATCTGTTTACTCAAGATAGGGCACTGATGAAGGAGCAGAGAAACAAGCCCATCTAAGCATCAGATATTTAGTTCCTGATTATACTGACATTACTTACAGTAACAAAAGTGAGCTGTGAGTCACAGGAGCTCCTTGCAGAAACATCTGTATACTATTCATGATAGTACATAAAGCTGGCAACCTTGGCACTCCTTGCCCCATTTGATGGCAACTAGTCCAGCTAGCCTCATCTCCTCAGCAATGTTACCACTTATGTAACTATGTAGAGATGCCTTGTGACTCTTTCAACTTTCAGAAGCTTTATTGCAGAAGAGCCTCACTCTCCTCCCCAGGAGAGGATGCCTCAACTTAGAGGAAACAGCTATGTAGCAAGCCATCTCAGTCACAAAGCACAACCCTAAAGATTAACTGGCTTGCTGAAAATGCACTGCAAACAGAATAGGATCTTCATAAGGTGTAAACATTACTCTTTGGAAAGGCAGAAATGTACAAAACTCAGAGGATCAGCTATTCAAGATCATCCCATGCTACATAGAGAGATCAAAGCCAGTGTGGATTACATGAAATCATGTTTCAAAAAGGAAAAGAAAAAATTGCTTGGTGTATGTGTTGGGACTGGGCTCCACATGAGATTCTGTATGTCCATTCCTGCTTTCTCTATTTTCTCCACTTTCTGTAATAAGGGGCTTCTTGGATGAGGAGCTTTTAGCTGTACTTACTTGTTCCTATAAGAGTAAGATTTAGAATGTAGTTAGGGATTATGCTGGTCAAGTAACAATGGAATGTGGTTATTTTCCCAAGGCTTATGACTTTACTGGTTTTAGGAAATGGGCTAGATTTTTATTATCAGGTATCATTTCCCACTGTTTGAGTGCACTTTAAGTCTGCTTTGTTCCTGCAACTACGGATCAAGGAACATTATAAAAGACGGTAGAAAAAAGGTGGGAGGAGTCAGACTATTAGGAAGTCCAGGTGGAAATGATCTCTCATAGTATTGGATGCAGAAAGAAGACCAGGTCATGGCTAGGTCAATAGAAATGTTAAAAAGGAAGGAGAAAATTTCATGGGGTCCACCCCAAGCAAAGGACAACAGGCAACTAATGACTGCTTGGAAGAGGAGAAATTACCTCTCCCAGGGAAGAACTCCCTTCTGGGTGTCCAGTGCCGAATGCTGCATTCTGATAATATTTACACAAAAACTGACTCAGCAGGCTGAGCCTCTCTCTCTCTCTCTCTCTCTCTCTCTCTCTCTTCTCTCTCACACAGTTAAAAATGAGTATCTCTGTTCATCCCTGATCCTGTTCAATTATATCTTTTTAAACTTTGTCTTGCTTTCACATATCTTTCTTTTGCAAAAAAAAAAAAAAAGCACTCCAAAAATGTTCTAGTTTTGAAACTATCTTCTTCTAAAAATCTTGAACCTTTGAGTGTGATGTGTTTAATCAGGTGGCAAGTTGGTTCAGGGTTTTATTTATGTATTTCAATCTAGACCCATATCAGGCAGGAAGACAGACACTATGAGTGTGAATAAATTTGGCTCTATTGTTAGAACATTGCCTCATTGTTTTGGAAGAACTTTTCAGAGGATGAGCAGTTCTGTACATTTGAAACTAAACCAGTACAAAGAAGAACAATCTAAATATCTGGTTACTATTAAGCTACATCAGTGCCCACAATGGGATAATGAAAAACTGAAGGCAATTAAGAAACAATGAAAATTAAGTATGAAAGGCAGAGCAACAATTTTATTGATTATTGTGCTTGGTAATTGATAATTGGATATGTACTCAAGGATTAATGGAGGTAAAAGTTTTAAAGGAAGGAATCAAGTGAGGAGATCCGTTATCCCTGTGGATAAAATTGTATGGAGACATTATTACAAATGTATTGAGTATCTGAGCTCAGTTGAGATCAGTAGTCTGTTCTAGAGTGAAAGAATCTTGGTCTAGACTGTAGCATTTCTCAAGATATATGGGTCAAGTCTCCTTTTGTGTGTAATGATCCTTTCACAGCATTTGCATGTTAGATATTTACACTATGATTCTTAACAGTATCAAAGTTACTATGGTGAAATAGCAACATATGTAATTTTATGGTTGGTGGTCACCACAACTTGAAGAACTTTGCCAAGGGGTCACAACATTAGGATGTTTGAGAACTACTGCTCTAGAGGGGTTAGGTAGAGCCTTCTAATTAAGAGGTACATCAAATTAAGCTCTTAGGAGTTCCACATGTAATGTTCTTCAATGTGGGGACTTACAAATTTCACCCCAGCTTCTACTAATTTTGTGTTGTCTAGTGTTTCTAGAAAATATTGTTTGTGGCTGTTCCTGTGGGATTTCACACAATCTACTTATTCAGTCATTATCAATTCAGCACTGACTTCACAAACACAAATGATTACTGCTGACAATGTTTGTCAACTCATCATGCACCAAGGAAAAGCATGTGAAACACTCTTTGTTTTTAGGATGAAAGATAAAAAAATGCAGGGAATCAGGAAATGCTCACATTGTACCCTGGCTAGGAAAACAGAGCTTTCAAGAATGTGCTTCT